TATGCGGCTAGCGGGGTGACTGGCGGATTCCCTCAGAAATGCTGCAGGAATGCACCCACTGCAGCAAGTTTTGGAAAGACATAGGAGGAGCAGAGATCAGAGGGAATGTGAAGAGTGAGGAGGATGGGTAGGTTGGAAAAGTGAAGAGAAAGCAGGAAAAAGAGAGTGTACACTATGCAGGCAGAAGCAGTCATGTTCTTTATCCTAAATGATTCCTTGTCCCGAGTGGTGGATGAAGAATGGTTTTAGTCAGTATTTAGGTGTATTTGGGCAGTGTTGTCTGTGGTAGAGGGTTGCTCTTGTTTCTCTTAGTTGGGCTGCCTTCTTCCAAAACTAGTTTAGGTCAGCGAAAATATGGTTTAAACTTAAGGCTGATTAAACATTGTTTAACTTGCATTGTCTGCAATATAGGTAAAACACATCGAACATGTCGACTTTCTGCATCTGCAATGAACTTCACACTTTTGATGAAAGTATGTGTTTGATAAATACTGAATAGGGGTTTAAAAGTGTGTGGGCATAACTATTAAAACACTGTATTAGTGAGAAAAGGGTGCATTTAAATGCAGAATTAACAAATATGACTCAAGGGTAGGAGGTATTGCTTTAGAGAAATGATACCATTTGAATAAGGCACTTGAAAATAACACATTAAAGTGTCTTTAATGTTGTAAGTTCTTTGAATTGTGTCTGTTAGCTCCATAGTAGAGGTTAGTTTGAATAAGCCATGGTACAGAAGTGACCTGGCCCCTATTTAAGCATGCTCTGGCATAAAGGGATCTTTGAAATAATGCAGATATGAGTAGGAATCTCTGATGTTCAGGGTCCCATCACAGACCCTGACTTTGGACCAGCAGCTGATCACATCCACCAGGCTCCTATATGTTTGGGATTCTGCTGACTGCCATAGAAGGCAGCCCCATGGCTATTAATCTGCACCAGTAATACCAGTTTCTTAATGTCTGTGGAGTGCAGGATTCTTGATTCTGGTTCTGCAGGTCATGCGAGGCCAGGAAAACAAATGTAATTGGGAATAGGGGAATGGCAGTGTTGAAGGAACCTATTTCAAAGAGCTGGAAAAGCTTCAGTCTCTTCCTCCACAAATTCTATTTAAAGGATCACAGGCAGAACACCTCAGTGTACACAACATACAGACTCGTGATGTTTTCTGTATAGCTTAGACAAGTTGGATGTTATCTCCCCACTTCTTTGGGATGCTTTCTAACAAGGCCTACCTGCCTTTGTGCAGTTGTCTCTTGCCTAGATAATGGGGGAGACCTGAACTGCTCTGTAAAATGAAATGACAAAAGTGCTGTATAAAACGTTTCAAGTTGTGTATTAGCAAGTGCATGTAAAAGAGTCTGGTCCAGCCTTTTAGGGCAAATCTCATTCCTCTCTTGTAGAGAGGCACTGAGGACAGCTTTATTTTAAGTGAAGCTTGGAGTTTGGCTGTCTGTGCCTTGGCTTTTGGCTGCATCCTCTGGCTATTGTCCACAGTGGGTGTTGCTGGGTTTTGAAGCTCTTTTCTTAACCAACTCATTATGTTCTGCTGTTTAAACCCAATTCTGGCTTTAGCTGCTATAGCTTTCTGAAGCCTGATCTTTTGTGGCATTCTTGCAGGTTCTGCTTTGGGTTTTTTTGCCTGCTTTTCTAGAGGAGGAAGTTGGACTCAGCCATGCTGGTTTCTTCAGGGCACTCACTCACCGTTGAATGCATTATTGTGTTCCCCCCACATTTGATGATGTGGGACAGAGCTTCAAAGATACCACGTTTCTTGGGGAACAGCTACATAAATACCATGGAACTGCTCACCTTTAACGTTAGAGAGATATTACACATGCCCAGTGGGGAAATCTGTGTTAAGAACCAGGAAAAACTCCAAGAGGAGACACAAAGCTGTAGGCATCCTGTCCATATGCAGGGTGTACTTCCCAGGCTGTGCACTGCACATCGATCTGCATCCCTTGGGTATCCCCGTGTGCTTTGCTGGTGCCTTTTATTAGCAGAGCTAATCTTAGCACTGTCTTTCTTGATTCCAGTTTAACACAGTTAGGATTTTTGAGTACTTTGACTTGTTTTTTCCCCAATACCAGCTGTCAGAAGCACACATAGGTCTCATGAAACAGGTGCAGTTTTTGAACTGATTTAGATGAAGAAGGGAGAGACATTTGGTAAGTATTAATTGGCAGGCACTTGGGGTAAGGACAGCAAACAGAATGGAAAGAACAGGAGTTAGGGAGTGCCTCATAAATGGGATTTATTTCACTTTACTTTTATTTCTTTATGTCTCTCTGATAAAAAGAAAAGGGGACGAAGACCTCATTCAGTTCTGTTCCTGTGGAGCCCTTCATGAGGCTATATCCCTCTGACTCATTAAGTGGATGGGAGCATTTGTTAACTGTGTGGCACCTCCCAGTCATTATCTTCTTTTGTCTTTGGTGTTCTTGTTTTTGCCTTTCTGTGTCTTCTAATATTTGAAATAAGCAGTAAAAATGTTAACACAGGAAATAATCACGGAGATCTTTTTTCTCCAGGTAACATACATTGCACAGAGCTTACCTGAGAAGTCTTGAACTCGTAGTATATACAAGAGCCCCAGCCCATTTTAAATGCTGCATTGGTTTTATGACAACTAGATTAGAGTTTCCCAGTCTATGGACCTAGCTTACAAGAAGTATTTGTAGATGAAGGTTAAAGGGTGGAGGTAAAGTAAGGAAAATGTCTCTTTATTCTCTGATGATGCTGAAGTCTGAAAGAAATATTATGGTCTGCATGAACAAACAAAAAAAAATGGGTATACTTTATACTGATTTAGATATGTGTTTAATGCTTGTACTTTAAATTTATACTACTTTGTACGCTATTATGCATTTTTCAGTGTGATTTCTGTTTATTATTGCCTGAAATGGGAACTTTGACATTGGAAAGAACTCTTTGTGTCCAGACAACAAGAAGGATGTAGATTGCATCAGCCTCTTTCCCCCTTGTGACTTTTCTTTGTGGACTAAATCCTCTGGTATTTGTGTGCTCAGTTTCACATGGAACACTTCAACACAACATCCCTGCCTTGGGGAGTGGGAGGAATGGTATGCTTTGAACAAGTGTCCTTGAGGCAGAAAACAACAGGAAGGTGCACTGCCGAGCATCCTCCTTTCTTTATGTATGCATATGGAGTGCAAGGTAATCGGGTCTGCTGTGGGAGAAGGTGCAGTGGAATCAGGGAGCTCTGGAAGTTCAGCAAAAACAATGCCAGGAGTGCAGCTTTCCTGTATCTGCTCTGCGTAATGGAGACTGGTTTCTTCAGCACTTGGATGCTCAGGCGTCCTGGGATTTTGTGAAGGACATGGAAAACAAGTGCATTTGCTGTACCTACTTCCTGCTGATAGTCTGGAAATGGAGCAAATCAGAGAGAAATGTAGCTTTTTGGATCATTAAAAATCCATTTTCATTAAAAGCCAAGGATTGCAGTGACATACTTATTTATACATTAGTCCCCTGTCTCTGCCTTTACAGATAGAGTGAAAAGAGAGCCTTTTCAGAACAGTTTTAAAGCCTAAACGAAAGAAAAGCATTCTATTTACCTTGAATTACTTACATGGCATACTTGTTTGGTTTTTTTTTTTCCACACTGTATAGAATGGCAATTACTCTGCATTCTTTCTTTACCACCAGCTCCTTTTGTCCTATGTATCTATAATTTGTTTTTATCTGTATCTTCCACCTATCTATCCATTTCCTCTTTGTGCTTAGAGTTGGTTGCAAATTATATTTGTGATGCAGGGAGCTTTCAATCTGACTGCCTTGATATTATTTTATGCAACCGTGACTACCGTAAAAATTGGCTTTACTGCCTCTTTTGTGTTATTGATTCAAGCCCATTTCAGAATTAACTTGTTTGGAATGATCTGGCAATGTTGTGTGCCCCAGGTTCTCTCAGGAAAAAAATTCGTATCTCATAACTAAATGCAATAAAATGTTCAAATATAGCTAAACACAGTTATATTTTGAATTTAGATGGAAGCCTTATGGAGTCAGTCAAACATACAAGGCATGTGTAAGTTTTAGTTCTAGGCTTACAAGTTGTGTACTGCAGAAAAAGTACTCAGAGATCAGCTTTTTCCTAGAGGTCTGTTCCTTATGGATGCCGTACGAAATGCCAAATCACATCATTCCTGTTTCCATCCTGGATTGGATGGACAGCAGTTTGACATTTTAACTAGAGCTGTACCTGTAATTTGAGATTATTGCTTTAATTCAGTCAGAGCTTAAGTCTTTCAAATCTTAGGGTTAAATCTGTCCTCGTGCTTAGGTGGAAATATTTGTGTGCTGACAGTCAGTGGAAAGCAATCTACAAACCTTAATCTTCCCTCATTAATGGCTTGACTGGTGAATTTGGAATTGGTTTTGTTATAAAAGGAGCAAACTAAGTGCTAGTATGAACAGGGAACTCTATAATATCAGTTAATTGTAACACCCAGGTGTTAGAAATCAGATCCCAGTGCCTAACATCTTTAACTAACCCATAAAACCAGTGCATACACTGAAAAGCTCATCTCCATTAGGGTTGTTTTCAGGTCAGAAATGTGAAGTACACTTTGAATAACCTAATAATGTTAGCCTTTCTATTTTACAGATGCCCCTGCCCTGATGTCCACCACAAAGACAACATCTCCAAGGCTGGCTCAGGCTACACTTCACTCTGGGAGCAGAACAGGTTTGGCTGGTGGGAAAAAGCTGTATGCCAGCTACCCTTTAAAATGCTTTGGCAGCCGTGGATCTGGAATACAAATCCCTTTTTTTTCCCCTTCTTACCTTTTTTCTGACTGGTGTCTCCTATTCTTTACTAATCTTTTTAGTGTCCTTTAGAGTACAGAGCCTTTTGTGAGTATATATATTAAATGTGTGGAGAGGAAAAAGCTACCCAGCGTGAGCACAAAACAGATGCATGTATATCTTGAGATGAGTGCAATATGGGTAAAGAACTATTAGTTTTCCCACAGTCGTGTTTCCATCTACTTATGAGATGTATACGTGTGCCTTGTTAGCAATGATCTTGTAAAGCAAAAGCTGAAGTTTTCATATCGGAGGAAACGTATATTGTTAAATGAGCTGAGAACATTCTCCCAAGGGTTAGCATTTCTCTTGTACATGTGAAATCCTCCTGAAATAAATGGCCCTATTATTTTAATTGGATCTTTTGGTATTAGAACATCTTTCTTTGTACTGCAGTAAAGAACCTTCTTTTCCTTCCTTCCTCCCCTGAAAATGTGAAATGAACAAACACAGGCGCTGCATTAAAACATTTATGACTTCAGCAGTAGAAGACTACACCGATATACACAGATGCACATACACATGTATAAATTAAATTCATATTTTATGATGTATTCCTCCATTCTATTACTATTTGGGGGTTGGAACTGGATGATCTTAAGTTCCTTTCCAACCCTAACTATTCTATGATTCTCTCTGAAAATATACAAACAGGGTTTCTGCTTATAGAATATGTATGATTAAAATTGTGTCTTGTCCTTTAGGCTGATTCCTTATTTACAATGCTGCTAATGACCAAGGCACTTAAAACCAAGAAAAAAGCTCCTGTTCTTTAATCAGAACAGAGTAGGAGATGTTCAGAAAGGATAGTATCTATTTAATAAATAAATTAAAGCATGCTCTTTAACTCCCCTAACAGTTGTCAGTAGACTTCAGTTCTCCAAGTATTTGGACTATGTGCTTAATTTTCTTCTGTGAGTGAGGGATTAGACAGTCTTAATAGAGAATGGACCATTCTAATCTGGTTTGTAGATCATCACAGAAGTGAGGAACTCTGTTTATCACATTGTGATCAACAGCACAATGGAGTATAAAATTTCCTGTGTGCATAGGCTTGAAAACTAATTTGTTGGTGTGTTTCTTTCCTCTGTTTTCTGCAGCTGTTCCATTGCAAACTGTTACTGCTGGTCAGAAAACCAAATATCTATTCTCCAGAGTTGGCTATGTGCTCGAATGTTTGAAGATTTGGTTTCTTTTATAACTTGAATGCAAGGAATTCTCCCCCTCCTACATCTGAATACGAGAGCTGAAAATACCTGTGTATGCATTGTGTGTTCAATATATAGATACAATAATGATGTGAACCTGAAAACAAAATTATAAAGGCAATTTTTTATCATACAGAAAAGATCAAGGAATTATTTATGTGCAAAATGAGAAAGTTACAGGGTTAGAGTTTATTGGACTTTCTTTTTAGGAGGTCTGTTCAAGTTTCATAAGGGCAACTAAGCTTTGAGGGGGCAAAAAATGCTCATAGACCAACTACTTATGAAAACCTGGAGAAGAAAATACAGCTGGAGTGACAAGCATTGAATTGTCTTGTTTTGGGTGTCTCTTCCCTCAGTGGGAACGATGGATTTTGTTTCTCATCTCTTTATCCAGAACGATCTGCTCTTTTGGACAAATTAAGGAGATAACTTCCAACTTACGAAGTATATCAGAATTGCTCTTGCATAGGTAATTGCAGGAACTTGCTGGGAATTGGAGCCGGTTTCCATGTATGCTTCCCCAAAAACCTGTTCCAGTGCGTGCACATCTCCTGCTGAGTGCTGCTCTTGCTGGGTGCTGCCCAGCTTGAGCCCACCACTGCAGGTCACAGTGCCAAAGCATGGGATGGGTGCCTTGTGGTGCCTAAGCCTTGGCATCTTCCAGCTGTTTCCATAACAACACACTTAGAGAAAATAGACATTTGCTCCACTTCCACAATTGTCATTTTGCTGAGAATTAATGGATATTAATGTTTTTCCCCCCTCTCTGTGTTTAGGTGCGTTTTAAGAGTGACCCAGAAGTGTATATGGGACAATGGAGTATCCAACACCATTGTAGCTGGCTGTGCCTTACCATGCATTTGGGGTGGTGAGGAGCTGGAGCTGGTAAAAAGCTGTCTGGTTTTGGTTAAAAGGCAGATTTGGTCCTAGTGTGTTCTGTAGAGCAGTGTGGGAAACAGCAGAGAGGGGAATGGCTGGTGCGAGAGAAGGGCAGGAAGGGGGTCTTGGATGGGCAGAGCTTCAGGGGGCCCTTCGCTGGCATCCTCTACCACCAAATGTGGCTCTTGGGTGTCCTCCAAACTCTTACTCCCCACCCCAAATAGCATCGTGATTCATGGCAGTCCTCACAAATGCCAAGAGTGGGATATGTACTGCCGGAGTCCTGTAACAGCAAGTGTATGCTTGGCTGTATTATTGTGGTTTGGGGCTGTTTTGGAATGGAGAATCATGGATTAAGGTTTAAGGATGGTTGCTTCTTAATATTTCTTATGGTAACGGCTTGCTTCAGTGTTTAAAGATTGGGGATTCTGATTTTTAAGAAATCAGTTGCTTCGGAATTCTCTTTGAAGTCAACCAGTGATACAAGAATTCAGATTTAAAACCTTCTTGGGGTCAGTGCGATTAGTTTTTTAACGGAGGAAGTTTTCACATACTAGCTATTTGTTTTCTACCTGAGGTGTAAGCCTGGGTGAAAAAAGACAGGCCAGGAGTTCAGCTACGGCAGCAATAGCAACTGCAGTAACTCCTGTCATGTGGCATATTACTATGATCACAGCTGTATTTTGTTATCTTGATCTATTCTGCTAGCAGGATGTATGGACATGACCCGAAGCCATCCTACTCTGGACTCTTTTCTGTTGTGCCCACCAGTACGTCATCTGTGTGCCATAAACACCGTGACCAGCAGCTGTCACTTGGCACCAGTGTAAATAAGGGACCAAACACAACACGATTACCAACACAAGACTTTTGGCAGAGTGGAGTGCTGTTGCAGTTGTTAGTGCATCCCATTCAAAGCAGGGGTTACCAATGAGTCCTTGCTTAAATGTGCTTCATCTGTCAGCATTATGAAAAGTCTTTTATCTCTTAACTGCTAATCCAGAGTGGCACAGCACAAGAGCAGCTCCAGAGCAAAACTTCAACCCTAGGGGACCAGGAGAATTGAGCTGACCCCTTGCTGTGAAGAAGCAGTAGTATTTCACCACTGGTATAAGGTAAGAAAGATGTGTAAGCCGTGGAAAAGATTGGTGACAGTAGAGAATTAAGTTCATTTTAAAGGAGCGGGGCTTTACACTCTGTGTGTGTTTACACTGAATAGGTGATTTCTGAAGAGGTTTTCTTCCTTTAAATCCTGGAAGCACATTTAATGCTGAGGAGCGGCTCTTCTCACTGCAGGACTTTTCTTGGAAGCACTATAAATCTTGCAGACGACAGGAATTTGGCTGGAGCAGAACAGATCTTGGTGGTCTCGTTATTCATCCTGTGCAAATACTTTCTGAAGATGGTCTGAGACGTTCTTGTAATTGGATATACACAATGAGCTAAGTGAGTGCTGACCAGCTGAGGAAGGTGAATGAAAAGGGCACGGATCAATTTGATAATGATTAATTTGCCTGTTGTCACTCTTGTGCTTTCAAATTTGTTCATAGAGAAGTTTTCAGTTCTATTAGAGATGATGTATTTGCATTAATGAACTGCCTAACGTGCACAGGGCAATGTTTTGCTCTTGTTCTGCATATCATATGTTTTATATAGGCTAAGCCTGTAACAAAAGCTCTGCTTGATCCAAGGGTCTTTTTGTATATGCTTAAAACAAGCCGGAAGAATGCTTGCTGCAATTACACTGGTAAATCAATATGTTGAAATAGTGCAATGAGATGACATAATGTTAATTTTCCTATCTAAACAAGGCTTCTTTAGCACCCAGTGTTTCTATCAACCAAACAAAGGAGTTCTTTCTTTAATAACTAGCCTGCAAGTTGTATTGTTAATCTAACCACTAGAAAGAAGCAAGGCCACATACTGAAGCTGGTAGATGTTGTTGAATATTGATTTCAATATCGATACAGTTGAAGGTTGTTGGAATTTTTTGGCCTTATTACTTTATGTATTTATGTTTTAATTGAACAAATTAGGAAGAAAAGAATGTTTGCATCCTTTCAGGACTTATGAACATGAAGCGTGGAGGCAATCAGGAGTGATGAGTGCCAGACGGGCACCAGTATAGTGATGGGAGCTGAAGGGCAGTACAATTTACTTCGCAACATGAAGTGGACATAAGGAGAGTAATGAATTCTTGGGGTAAAGTGTTTATGTTTTGAGACCATGTTTGAGATCTGTTCTGCAAGTTCACTTCTTCCAGAAAGGCTTTGAAAAATGATCAACATTATATTCCTAGAGCAGTTGTAGACATCATACTTTTTACATGTGTCCATGTTGGATTTTAACATGGGTTGGGATCTGCATCTTTTTCTTTCCCTTTTTCATGGAGTGTGTTTAAAGTGCACATTACAAATAGTGTAGGGGATGGATAAGGTCAGAACGGGAGGAGAACAGGTATTACTGTAAGGTGCATTTTCTATCATGCCACACGATGCATGGAGAAAGAAAATAAGCCCTAAAATGTATGACCATTGTTTTGAAGAAGGTCTCTTTTGTGTTATTGCATCCAGATGCATCTGAATCACACAGCATCTTGGGCTGTTTTCTGCCAGTTTAGGGTCCAGGAACTTGGAGGATGGAGATGCCTACCCACTGTGTGCCTATCTACCCTGGCAGAGCAGGTAATGGGTAGCAGGACAGCTGAGACTCACCGACAGCTTCAGTGCAAGGAGGAATTGCAGCCCTGCAGGTTAGGTTCAGTCTGCATCTTGAGCAGTGATTGTTGGCTTGGAACACAAGTCCTGCTGTTGTCAAAGTGCTTTCAATATTGGGCCAGATGAATTGGTGAAGTATCAGTAAATCTTTTAAAGAGAAATAATGGAAAGGTTGTGGTAAAGCACATGAGGCTGTACCTTGTCTCTTCAGCAATGATGCACAGCTGATTTGTCTTGTTAGCGAGTGTCTAGTCTGAATGCTCTCCTGTCACAGGCTGTTTAGTTTGCTTCTCATTTTTACTTCTGTCTACTTGTTTATTGAATTTAGCTCTTCTTTTCACCTAATATGTGGATTGGTGATGCTGGCAAGGAAACGTGGTGGAGGCAGACAATGAGATCGCTCAGCCATGTGTAAGGTGACCTACAGAGGTAAATGCTGGAGACTTATATTCCTGAAATACTACGTAAATATCACACAGCAAGTTTTCTTCTTGGGTTAAGAGGGATTAAGGATGGATTCCTGAGTGTAGGGTTTTCACTAAGCTGAGCTGTTTGTGGTTCTTGCTAAAGGTGGGACCTTCTCTGTATATAGTGATGAGCTGGCAGCTGCATTCTAGATTTCCACTGAGGTTTATGGGTGGAAAAAGTTCTGCACATGGCACATGAGAGAGCTCTGGGAGGCAGTTCTGCAGGAGAGCGCTTCTTAGGAGACCTCTCTGCTCTGCTTAGGATGCTGCGGGCTGCCAAAACAGAAGGGCAGAGCAGGGGAGGAGATTCCGCTTTCTCTGGAAATAGATGAAGAAATGGTGTAAGAAAATCAATGGCTGTGTGACGGGTATGTGTTAGAGCCATAGAGCCCGTTCGGTTTCCCTTCCTGCAAGTACGCCTTGGGAAATGAATAGAGAAAGTAAAGCAGCAGCTCCCAGGAAGAGATTAGAAGAAACAAAGGGCATCCTTTAAAGCCAGACATGAATGCTAATAGTGTTTGAAATATGCATTAGATGGATTTACATATTTATGTAATGTGAAAAAACAAAAGTTTTTTTTTTTGTGAGTTCCTCTTTTGGGACTGTACATTCTTTTGGTTTATTTTCCTTTTCACTTTCACAATAAAATAGGTACCTGCTTTTAAATGGGGACCTCTGAACAGTGAGAGATGTAGGGGTGTGCAACCTTACTCCAGAACATGGGATTTCTGTCCACTTTCGCTGACTGGAGTTCCTGAAAGCAGGTTTCTTGGTCTTCTGCTTGATATCTCCTCTTAAAATCAAACCCTCTGTGAAATAACTTCATTTTATGCCCAGTGTTTGTGCTGAGAAGCAAATCCCAAACTATCGCAGACACAGCTAAGACGATACTTTGTTTAATGAGCCAGACTTTACCCCGCAAAGCAGAAGGATCCTGTGAGCAGGTTTATATAGGTTTATGATGCGC